GGTGATATGGTTGTCAATGCCATAGTTCACATCAGTGCTTGCAGTTCCAGTGCGTTCCGGATGCAGAAAAAAAAAAAGTAGAACAGGCTGTGTTTTTCCTGCACAGAACTGTACTGGAACACTGTAAAACGCATAAAAAATGCACCACACCGGAACGCACCAAAAACTGAAACGGACATGTCCCTATTTAAATTGTAGAAAAAAAGAAAAAAAATGAACTGGAAAGCATCAAAAACGCACTGGAATGCACCACAGCATGCCAAAAATGTATCAAAAAGGCACCGGAATGCATAAAAAACACTTTAAATATGCACCAGAATGTGCCAAAAACATATAAAAAACGCACCGGAACGCACCAAAAACTGGAACACCCATGTACCTATTTAAATTGAAGTAAAGAAGAGGGGGGGAAAATGAACTGCAGCGCGTAAAAAATGCACCGGAACATGTTCCTATTTAGAGCAGAATGAAAATTCCTCCTACCAGCTTGAGGACCAGGTCACACAACATGTGTTTAAGTTGCTGTTTTCTGCATCCAAAACGCACAGAAAGTAGGTGATATGGTTGTCAATGTCATAGTCCACATCAGTGCTTGCAGTTCCAGTGTGTTCCGGTTGCAGGAAAAAAGTAGAACAGGCTGCATATTTTCTGCACTGAACTGTACTGGAGCATGGTAAAACGCATAAAAAATGCCCCGGAAAGCACCAAAAATAAATTAAAAATGCACCAGAATGCAGAGGGGAAAAATGAACTGGAATGCATCAAAAACACACAGTAACATGCCAAAAATGCATTAAAATGCACTGGAATGTGCCAAAAAATTAACAAAAATGTGCTGGAATGCACCAAAAATGTGTCAAAAACATGCATGCAGAAATGCATCCAGAACGCGTCTGGACTGCATTTCTATAGTGTGAACCAACCCTTAACCAGAGCTCGGCTGAAACACTGATAGAAGTCACAACACTGCTCTAACTGCTGATGAGAAAAGGTATTTAGCAGTTTATATTTACTAAAATAATTCCATTTCCATGTTCTGTGTACTGTGGCAGACCAGATATAGTGAATGCAGGGTCCTGGGAGACCAGATATAGTGAATGCAGGGTCTTGGGAGGCCAGATATAGTGAATGCAGGGTCCGGGGAGACCAGATATAGTGAATGCAGGGTCCGGGGAGACCGGATATAGGGAATGTAGGGTCCGGGGAGACCAGATATAGTGAATGCAGAGACCGGGGAGACCAGATATAGTGAATGCAGGGTTCGGAGAGAGCGGATATAGTGAATGCAGGGTCCTGGGAGGCCAGATATAGCGAATGCAGGGTCCGGAAAGAGAGCGGATATAGTGAATGCAGGGTCCGGGGAGAGCGGATATAGTGAATGCAGAGTCCTGGGAGGCCGGATATAGTGAATGCAGAGTCCAGAGAGAGCGGATATAGCAAATGCAGGGTCCGGGGAGACCAGATATAGTGAATGCAGGGACGGGGGAGACCAGATATAGTGAATGCAGGGTCCGGGGAGACCAAATATAGTGAATGCAGGGTCCGAGGAGACCGGATATAGTGAATGCAGGGTACGGGGAGACCGGATATAGTGAATGCAGGATCCGGGGAGACCGGATATAGTGAATGCAGGTCCCGGAGAGAGAGCGGATATAGTAAATGCAGGGTCCGGAGAGAGCGGATATAGTGAATGCAGGGTCCTGGGAGGCCAGATATAGTGAATGCAGGGCCCGAGGAGACCAGATATAGTGAATGCAGGGTCCGAGGAGATTGGATATAGTGAATGCAGGGTCCAAGGAGGTCAGATATAGTGAATGCAGGGTCCGGGGAGACCAGATGTAGTGAATGCAGGGTCCGGGGAGACCAGATATAGTGAATGCAGGGTCCGGGGAGACCAGATATAGTGAATGCAGGGTCCGGGGAGACCAGATATAGTGAATGCAGGGAACGGGGAGACCAAATATAGTGAATGCAGGGTCCGGGAGACCGGATATAGTGAATGCAGGGTACGGGGAGACCGGATATAGTGAATGCAGGGTCCGGGGAGACCGGATATAGTAAATGCAGGATCCGGGGAGACCGGATATAGTGAATGCAGGGTCCGGGAAGACCAGATATAGTGAATGCAGGGACCGGGGAGACCAGATATAGTAAATGCAGGGACCGGGGAGACCAGATTTAGTGAATGCAGGGTCCGGGGAGACCAGATATAGTGAATGCAGGGTGCGAGGAGACCAGATATAGTGAATGTGTGGACCCGGGAGACCAGATATAGTGAATGCAGCATCCGGGGAGACCAGATATAGAGAATGTGGGGTTCGGGGAGACCGGATATAGTGAATGCAGGGTCCGGGAGACCAGATATAGGGAATGCGGGGTCCGGGGAGACCAGATATAGGAAATGCGGGGTCCAGGGAGACCAGATATAGTGAATGCAGGGTCCAGGGAGACCAGATATAGTGAATGCAGGGTCCGGGGAGACCAGATATAGTGAATGCAGGGTCCAGGGAGACCAGATATAGTGAATGCAGGGTCCTGGGGACCAGATATAGGAAATGCAGGGTCCAGGGAGACCAGATATAGTGAATGCAGGGTCCTGGGAGACCAGATATAGTGAATGCAGGGTCCAGGGAGATCAGATATAGTGAATGCAGGGTCCGGGGAGACCAGATATAGTGAATGCAGGGTCCAGGGAGACCAGATATAGTGAATGCAGGGTCCTGGGAGACCAGATATAGGAAATGCAGGGTCCAGGGAGACCAGATATAGTGAATGCAGGGTCCTGGGAGACCAGATATAGTGAATGCAGGGTCCAGGGAGATCAGATATAGTGAATGCAGGGTCCGGGGAGACCAGATATAGTGAATGCAGGGTCCGGGGAGATCAGATATAGTGAATGCAGGGTCCTGGGAGACCAGATATAGGAAATTCAGGGACCGGGGAGACCAGATATAGAGAATGTGGGGTCCGGGGAGACCGGATATAGTGAATGCAGGGTCCGGGAGACCAGATATAGGAAATGCAGGGACCGGGGAGACCAGATATAGTGAATGCAGGGTCCGGGGAGATCAGATATAGTGAATGCAGGGTCCGGGGAGACCAGATATAGTGAATGCAGGGTCTGGGGAGATCAGATATAGTGAATGCAGGGACCGGGGAGACCAGATATAGTGTATGCAGGGTCCTGGGTTTAGTAGTACTTTAAATTCAAATCTAGAATGGTCACATATTGCAGCCCACCAGTCCTCAGATGTGGCAATTGCATTCGTTTTCTTTTTTCAGTCTTTATTTTCATCTCAATATCCCGCCAGCAACACTTCCTGTCCTGGGTGACAACGCTCACTCACTGTTCTGTATCTATGGACGGAGCAGCGTTGTCAGCCTAGGACAGGACTACAGAATCCCTCCCCCCTCGCTTTCTCTCTATAACAGTGGTCTCCAAACTGTGGCCCTTTGCTTTATTTTATGCATCCCTTGGGCCACTATTCCCCCCCACCGTCAGCAAAAGTGGGGCATAGTTCCTGCCACTGACAACAAAGATGGGCACTATTCCGCCCAATGACACCAACGATGGGGCACTCTTACTCCCACTGACACCAATGATGCGGAACTATTCCTCCTACTGACACCACAGATGAGGCACTATTCCTCCCACTGACACAAATGATGGCGAACTATAACTCCCACTGACACCACAGATGAGGCACTATTCCATCTACTGACACCAATGATGGGGCGCTATTCCTCCCATTTACACCAATGATGTGGCACTATTCCTCCCACTGACACCAATGATGGTGAATTATTCCTCCCACTGACACCAATAATGGTGAATTATTCCTCCACTGACACCAATTATGATGCACTATTCCTCCCACTGACACCACAGATGATGCACTATTCCTCCCACTGACACCAATGATGGGAACTATTCCTTCCACTGACACCTACGATGAGGCACTTTTCCTCCCACTGACACCAATGATGGGGCACTATTCCTCCCACTGACACCACAGATGATGCACTTGTCCTCACACTGATACCAATGATGGGGCACTATTCCTCCCACTAACACCAACAATGAGGCACTTTTCCTCCGACTGACACCAAAGATGGGACACTATTCCTTCCACTGACACCAATGATGGGGCACTATTCCTCCCACTGACACCAATGATGGGGCACTATTCCTCCCACTGATATCAATGATGGGGCACTTTTCCTCCCACTGACACCAATGATAGGACACTATTCCTCACACTGATATCAATGATGGGGCACTTTTCCTCCCACTGACACCAAAGATGGGACACTGTTAACTCACACTGACACAAATACATTTTCTACTCCCACTGGCCACAGTCCGGCCCTCCTAAAGTTTGAAGGACAGTAAACTGGCCCTACATTTAGAAAGTTTGGAGACCCTTGCTTTATAAAATACAGGGAGGGGTTCTGTAGTCCACAGAGAGGATTGATAGGAGTTCAGCAAAGGGAGAGAGTAGGGATGACCCACCCATTCGGACAGAATTTTCCTTGTTTCTAGATTCAGCAAATGGCCAACTAAGGCTAGGTTCACACCTGTGCGGGCTGCGATTTGTGCGGACATGAGAGCCCAATCACTTGGATGGTCTGTCGTACCCCAAGACACGCAGGAAAGAAGTCTTTGCACTATTTTTAAAATGGCAGCCCACTCCGAGGTTCCCAGTACAGCTGCGATTTCCAGTGCGGGCGGCGTGCCATTGGGATTAACTACTTGCCAACCGCAGATAGCCGAATGACGGCTACACTGCAGCCAGCCAGTTCTGGGAGAGCGTCATATGACGTCCTCCCAGAACGCGCTCTCCTGCGCGCCCCGGGGGCGCGCATCCAGCGATCTCCGTGATCGCTGTGTCCTACAGACACAGCTGATCACGTGATGTGGTAAAAAGCCAATCACAGTGGCCTTTTACCACGTGATCAGCCATGTCCAATGACACGCTGATCACCGGGAAATGCAATTGCCGGTTCTTGGTTGCACTTTCCTTGTGCTGTCAGAGCGCGAGGAAAGTACTGCCGAGAACCAGCAGCTGTCAGAGCCCTGATGATCGGTGCCCAGCAGTGCCACCCACCTGTGCCCAGTAGTGCCGTCCACCTGTGCCCACCAGTGCCACCCAGCAGTGCCACACACCTGTGCCCAGAAGTGCCACCTACCTGTGCCCAGCAGTGCCACCCACCTGTGCCCACCCACCTGTGCCCACCAGTGCCACCCACCTGTGCCCACCAGTTCCCATCAGTGCAGTCTAGCAGTGCTGCCAGTCAGTGCCACCAGTCAGTGTCCAGCGGTTGTGCCAGTCAGTACCCAGCAGTTGCGCCAGTCAATGCCTAGCAGTGCTGCCAGTCAGTGCCCAGCAGTGATGCCAGTCAGTGCCACCTATCAGTACTGTCTATCAGTACCCATCATCAGTGCCGCCTATCAGTGCCACCTATCAGTGCCGCCTATCCATGACACCTCATTAGTGCTGCCTATCAGTGCCGCCTATCAGTGCCCTTCAGTGCTGCCTATCAGTGCCCATCAGTGCTGCCTATCAGTGCCGCCTATCAGTGCTGCCTCATCAACGCACATCAGTGAAGGAGAAAAATTACCTGTTTGAAAAATGTTATAATAGAAACAAAGAAATTTTTTTTTAATTTTTTGCACTATTTTTATTTATAGTGCAAAAAGTAAAGTGCCCAGCGGCAATTAAATACCACCAAAAGAAAGCTCTATTTGTGAGAAAAAAATGATAAAAATTTCATATGGGTACAATCTTGCATGACCGCGCAATTGTCAATCAAAGTGTGACAGCGCGGAAAGCTGAAAATTGGCCTGGTAAAGAAGGGGGTATAAGTGCCCGGTAGGCAAGTGATTAAAGGCACCCACACACGGGTCCCACAATCCTCTGTGTGGGTGGTTGTGGCTGCTGGTATTTGTGCAGGACCCCGCAGCGGCAACACCCGCACCGATGTCGGACCTCTACAGGCATCTGTAGGTCTAGGTTCACACCTATGTGTTTTCCACTGCATTTTGCAGAAATGCCCAGCAGTTTATTTAACATGGTTTCCTAAGGGACAGGCTCACATCTCTTCGTTTTCACCCGGTGCGTTTTTTGGACAGGATCAGGGACTTTTTTTCTGTGCAAAAAGTTGCATTTTTGGAGCTGTAGACTTCTATGGAGAGGCATGTAGTGTGTTTGAAGCATTTTTGCCACGTTTTGCATTTTATTCTGCTCAATAACAAGTTGAAAAAAAAAACGCATCAAAAATGCATGTGCAAAAAACGAAAAAAGAAAAAGAAGAGCAAAAAGCACTTCAGAAATGCAAACTGTATAGGTGTGAACCTAGCCTAAGGGCCCATTCACAGCAGAACGCGGTGCGGGAAACCCACGTTCCTTGCATGTTTCCTGCACTGCGTTCAAAATGCACTGCAGTTGTGATCTACAGCAGATGTCAATGACACCTCCAAACACCTCCAAACCTCCAAACGCAATGCGTTTGCCAACACCGGATCGCATGGTGCAGAAGTAGCATGCAATGCGGTCTCCTAGATTGTAAGCTCTGAGGAGCAGGGCCCTCTGGTTCCTCCTGTATTGAATTGTATTGTACCTGGACTGTCTGTCCTCGTGTTGTATATAAATCTGGTCAGGGGCGGACTGACAACTCATGGGGCCCCCGGGCAATAGGGGATCATGGGGCCCTGTGTCCTTGCCCAAACTCAAAAAAGCCTATGAAAAAGGTACCAGGGGCATCTCATGGGGCCACCTACTGACCCCCGGCCCTCGGGCAGTGCCAGAGTTTCCAAATGGTCAGTTCGCCCCTGAATCCAGTATTATAGTAACAATGTGGTCACAGTGAATTTGATTAAGCAGTGCATGCACAACTTTCGGTGCAGAGCAATTTCATAATGGCTGAAATGGCAGAATCGCATGTGAATCGCACAGGAATGCCCAGTGCGTTCCTGTGCAATTCCCAGTGTTAACTGGCCCTTAGTCTCGGTTCACTACGACCTGAAAGTCACGTGACTTTGCCAGGCGACTTGAACACGACTTTGAAGCAACTCTGAGCCTGGGTCCACACTGATGTGGTGAGGAATTCACAACAGTTTCTGTGCGATTTCCGCACTGCATCACAATCACACCCCATTCATGCGAACAGCTGCAGGTGTCTATGTTAACCTCCTCACGCCGGCCAAACGCAAATGTGCGGCCTCCCGGCGTCTGGGCCTATGACATTGGCTCTTTACCATGTGATCAGCTGTGTCCAATCACAGCTGACCACATGTAACCAAATGCCGGTTTCCGGCGTTTCATTCCCTCAGCGCTGTCACTGTCTGTGGGACGGAGAGCCGATAACCAGCAATCCTGTAACAGGAACATTTATACTGGTTATCAGTGCAGCCTATCAGTGCCCATCAGTGCTGCCTATCAGTGCCCATTAGTGCCACCTATCAGTGCCCATCAGTGCTGCCTATCAGTCCATCAGTGCAGCCTACCACTGCCACCTTTCGGTGCCCATTAGTGCCACCTATCAGTGCTTATCAGTGCTGCCTAACAGTCCATCAGTGCCCATCAGTGCAGCCTATCAGTGCTGCCTATCTGTGCCAATCAGTGAAGAAGAAAAATTACTTATTTGCCAAATTTTAAAACAGAAACTAAGAAAACCTTTGTTTTTTTCAAAAATGTTGGTCTTTGTTCATTTGTTTAGCAATAAAACCCCTCCTGTGGCGATTAACCACTTGCCCTCCAGAGGATTTCCCCCCTTCCTGACCAGGCCTTTTTTTGCATTACGGCACTGCGTTACTTTAACTGACAATTGCGCGGTCATGCAACGCTGCACCCAAATTAAATTTACGTCCTTTTTTTCCCACAAATTGAGCAAAAATAAACTGACAATTTTGAGAAACAAAAACAATATTTTGGACTTTTTGCTATTAAACATGTCCAGTAAAAAAATTTAAAAATCACATTTTGTCATAAATTTAGGCCAAAATGTATTCCGCTCCATGTCTTTCCTAAAAAAAAATCCCAAAACATGTAAATTAATTGGTTTACGTGGAAGTTATAACAGTTACAAATGGCGGTATAGATAATGGGATTTATTTTTTCTCCTACTAGTAATGGAGACTTATAGCGGGACTGCGGTGGACATTCTGACACTGGGGGGGGACTGACTTGGTGTCACTGACATCCCCAGTGACACCAATACAGTGATCAGTGCTAAAAAACAGCACTGACACTGTACTAATGACACTGGACAGGAAGGGGTTACCCTGAGGGGCGATCAAAGGGTTAACTCCATGCTGGAAGTGTTTTACTAGGGGGCAGGGGTGTTCTTCACTGTAAGCACAGTGATTGGGATGGCTGTGCTATACAGTCTTCCTCCCTGTCGGTGATTGTCTGTAATCAGTGGGCACTGTCACTATTAGTGTCACTGGGGATGTCAGTCGCTGATCGCTGCCATTAATAGTATAAAAAAAAAAAAAAATACCAGTATGTATCCCGCCATTTGTAAACACTATAATTTTTTCACGTAAACCAATTAATTTCCACGTATTGGGATTTTTTTTTTACCAATGACATGTCGCAGAATATATTTTTTACTGGATATGTTTTATAGCAAAAAGTTTTTTTCTCAAAATTGTTGGTCTTTTTTTGTTTATAGCGCAAAAAATATAAAACACACAGGCAAAAATAAAATAAAAAAAAAAAAATACCACAGAAAGAAAGGTCCATTTGTGGGTAAAAAAAGAACACAAATTAAATTTGGGTGCAGCATTGCATGACAGCGCAATTGACTGTTAAAGTAACGCTGCACCGCATAGCAAAAAATGGACTGGTCAGGAAGGAAGGGGAGGGGGGGAATCCTCTGGAGGGTAAGTGGTTAACAACTTGAGCTCCAGAAGGTTTTACCCCCTTTATGACCAGGCCATTTTTCGCTATTTGGCAATACACTACTTTAACTGGTAATTGCGCAGTCATGCAACGATGCACCCAAATGAAATCTATATAACTTTTTCCCACAAATAGAGCTTTCTTTCGGTGGCATTTGATCCCCACTGCGTTTTTTATTTGATGTTTTATTATATAAATGAAACAAGCCAAAATATTTCTTACTTTCTTTTATAAAACATATGCAATAAAAAAATTAAAAACAATCAAATTCATTCATAAATTTAGGCCAAACTGTATTCTGCTACATGTCATTGGTAAAAAAAAAAAAAAAACAATAAGGCTCCGTTCACACCAATGCGATTTTTAGTGCTTTTTGCAGAAATGCACTACAGTCCATTTAACATGGCTTCCTATGGAACATGTTCACATCTATGCTTTTTGAGCTGCTGTGTTTTTGGAAAGCATCAGGGACTTTTTTAAAAGCAAAAAGCAGCATTTTTATTACAATAGATTTCAATGGAGAAGCTACTGAAATGCATGGTAGTGAGTTTTTGCTGCATTTTGCATTTTTATTCTGCCCAGCAACCAAAAAAAATTCCATTTTAACAAACAAACAAAAAAAAGGAGCTGAAAAAAACGCGTGTAGAAAAAACGCAAAACGAACTGCGAAAGCACTGCAAAATGGACAAAAAGCAAACTGCATAGGTGTGAACGGGGCCTAAGTGTAAATTAAATGGTTTGTGTGAAATTTATAGCGTCTACAAACAATGGTATATATATACTGGAACTTTTATTATTTTTTTTTACTACTAATGGTGGTGAATAGCGACTGTGATAGTGCGGCGGGCAATCTGACACCAACTGACACTGGGTGGGAACTGACTGACTGCCACTGACATCACTACTGACTACTAATGGTGGTGATCGGTGACTTATAATGGGACTGCGATAGTGTGGCAGGCAATCTTCACTAACTGCCATTGGAGGGAACTGACTAACTGCCACTGACATCACCAGTGACACTAATACAGTGATCAGTGCTAATACTATACACGGTCACTGTACTAATGACACTGGCTGGGAAGGGGTTAAAATCGTGGGGTAATCAAGGGGTTAAATGTGTGCCTAACGAGTGTTCATTTGTATCATGTGTGTTGCTTTTTTACTAAATATCTCTGTTTCTTCCTCCTGCTTTGCAGGGAGGAGAAATAGAGAGATTGTTCCTTCTGTACAGAGCCCTGTGCTGATCGTCAACACAGGGCTCTGGGCTGTGATTGGACGCAGCCAATCAGCAGGTTTCAGCAACGAATCATCCAGGCCAGGACCAACTAACTAAGTCCTGTTGTGTACAATCACAGTGGCAGTCGGTGAGGGGGGGTGTCTGGAAACACCCACTCCTCAAACCATAAAGGCGTTTTGTATATTTCCATAACTCCTGTCACTGCTTGCATCAGGGCTGAGGGCTCTTAAGAGGAGAAATGAGGCAGGGTACTGTGACGTTTTCAGAAAGCTATGTACAGCCCCCTCTGATGAGCCATGATCTTCTTACATTGCATAGAGAAGCACAGAGACCCAGTGATGAGATCACTGGATCTGAAATAAGGTATGTAATGAAAACAGAAGTTTTTTTCTTTTCATTTATTTTATTAGAATGTTGATGAGGGGCCAGGGGGGAACTAGGGGAGGCAAAATATACGAAGATTCATCTTCAGCTTTAAATCATTATTACATTGCTACAGCTGGGTGGTTTCATTCGTTTTCATATTATACCCTTTTTGGATGTATTTTTTTCTTTTATCCGGTTAATACTTCTACATTAAACTTGCAGGTCTACTGTGTTCTGTACTTTTGGAGTTATTGATCCAGAACAAGAATGCAGAAATGTTGACTTCACTTGCTGCATGATTGCTCCAGGCAAAGGTGTGGAAATCCACATTTCAGCAAGTGAATGATTAATTAATGGGATATTTATATGTATATACTGCTCCTCCCCCGTACGACTTGTGTTCTCAGTGACACCGGCTAATAACCCAGGCTGTTATGTGAAGGAAGTCCTTGGAACTCCTGCTTTTTTATTTGTTGCAGGACCCTAAACACAGAGGAATTGCATAGTCTTTGCTTCTGAGTCCTAATGCAAGTATTACCAGTGTGATCAAGCCTTTGTATAGCATCTGACAAGTTTCACAAAGATTTTTGATACCTATAAGGCAACATCTCCAAACCGAGGACCGCGAGCAAGATGCACACCTTGTACGCTGTCCTCCCATTGACACCAATGATGGGGCACTATTCCTCCCATTGACACCAATGATGGGGCACTATTCCTCTCACTGACACCAATGATGGGGCACTATTCCTCTCACTGACACCAATGGTGGGGCACTATTCCTCTCACTGACACCAATGATGGGGCACTATTCCTCCCACTGACACCAATGATGGGGCACTATTCCTCTCACTGACACCAATGATGGGGCACTATTCCTCCCACTGACACCAATGATGGGGCACTGTTCCTTCCACTGACACCAATGATGAGGCACTATTCCTCCCACTGACACCAATGATGGGGCACTATTCCTCTCACTGACACCAATGATGGGGCACTATTCCTCCCACTGACACCAATGATGGGGCACTATTCCTCCCACTGACACCAATGATGGGGCACTATTCCTCCCACTGACACCAATGATGGGGCACTATTCCTCCCACTGACACCAATGATGGGGCACTATTCCTCCCACTGACACCAATGATGGGGCACTATTCCTCCCACTGACACCAATGATGGGGCACTATTCCTCCCACTGACTATGGGGCTCTATTCTCTCACTGATACCAATGATGAGGCACTATTCCTTCCACTGATACCAATGATGGGGCACTATTCCTCCCACTGATATCAATGATGGGGCATTATTCCTCCCACTGATACCAATGATGGGGCACTATTCCTCCCACTGACACCAATGATGGGGCACTATTCTTCCCACTGACACCAATGATGGGGCACTATTCCTCCCACTGACACCAATGATGGGGCACTATTCTTCCACTGACACCAATGATGGGGCTCTATTCCTCCCACTGATACCAATGAGGGGGCACTATTCCTTCCACTGACACCAATGATGGGGCACTATTCCTCCCACCGACACCAATGATGGGGCACTATTCCTTCCACTCACGCCAACATGTAGTTTGTCCCTTTGGGACAGAACAGTTAATTCCATGGACCTAGAGGCAAAACATAAATTTGTACTGAGGGTTTAATACTAATTTAATCCAATCACCAAAGAATGTGTCAAGGCAGATCTTTATTGTTCAAGAGGTGAAGAGTTGTTCAATAGAAGTTCTTGGGGATTAACTGAGCAGGAGGTGCCTGAGGAAAGGGAGATTGTATCTGGAAAGGCTAAAGGATCCTGCAGGCCATGGATGTCAGATGGAGGTAAGTATGCATCAGGGGCAGCATATGAAATAACCAACAAAGATTTTGGTAGAGTTTCATTTTTAGTCTTCCCAGGAGACAGGAGGATATTTTAGTCTCAAAGAAAGGCCAACTCCATGGTGATGGCCATGGTTTTGAAATGGATGTCCAAAACGTCCATATAGCTGTGATGGTCGGGTGACAACAAACCTTTGACCATAAAGTATACTAAGCTAAGCATAGCTGAAGATATGAGGAACTTCATTGTAAAACAAGTTTTATTTCTGAAGGATCCATCTCAGCAGCTTCCAAAGCTTCCCACAAACATTGGATGGTGGCCTTGCGTCCCATGTGTTGTTTCCATCTCACCAGTCCTTCCATGACCTGTGAGTGCAGGTTGTCTGGATGTTGTATTTTACACCTGTACAGGTCGCTGTGGTCCAGTCCTAGGTGACCCAGAACCTGCTCCCATTCCGATCCCAGTTTTCCTGCCAGAAGGTTGAGTTGGCGGTCATTGGGACAGTTCTGAAGGACATTAGCGGGCAAACCCAAAGATGTGCTCTCCGGTACAGGAGGGCTCTTGTGGCAGTGCTGCTTTAAATTCTCCAGAACCCATGGGAATTCGGTCATGGAATCCACGAAAACATTGAAGGCCTTGGGTCCACGAGTGGGCAGGATGTCCAAGAGCTTCATTGCTCTCCTCTGACTGGTGGCCTGTCCACATATGTCCTCTAGTTGGTCACGGGTGATGATGCCTTCCTGATACAGATACTGGGGAACCAGTCCATCAGCTACGGCATGGGAACACAATTCAAGACGTCGGTTTCTGAGGAGCTCCCTGTGTTTAGAATCCATCGTTGAGCTGGGGACCTGTGTAATAGGTACATCAATACTGGATTTAATAAATATAATACATAGGTCTGTCTATACAAAAGTCTCATTCACACTTAAAGCTGAACTCCAAGCAGACATACAGTATAAAAAAAAATGCAGCTCTGTAATCATCAGTAAATGTTTTTTTTTTTTTTATAAATGCAAGCCATTCCTGAATTTGACTTGGTATCCAACTTTTACCGACCCTGTACAGCAGAGCTCAGATCGGGGGTGGGGGGGGGGGGAAAGCAGCACTGCTGTAGTGCAGAGAAGATGCTGATAGGAGGAGAGCGCAGAGTGACAGAGAGATGGGCTCATGAGTCTGCTGCTTCTTTCACTGCCCAGTCACAGGCTGGGGGAGGGACAAGACCTGTAATCATTACTGAACTGCAGTGCAAAAAAAAAATCAGGTCTCCTGCCCTGCTGGAGACGCAAGACTTCACTTCCAACACCAGCACCTGAAGCAGATTGAAGAATCAGCTCGGGGTGAGGACATTGCTGGACCCCCGTGACAGGTGGGTGTCATATTAAAAGTCAGCAGCTACATTATTTCTAGCTGCTTTAACATTTTCGGGGGGAGCCCGGAGCTCCTCTTTAATCACTTGCCTACCAGGCACTTATACCCCCTTCCTACCCAGGCCAATTTTCAGCTTTCTGCGCTGTCGCACTTTGAATGACAATTGAGCAGTCATGCAATACTGCACCCATATGAAATTTTTATCATTTTTTTTCACATAAATGGAGCTTTCTTTTGGTTGTATGTACTCGCCACTGGGCGTTTTATTTTTTGCGCTATAAAAAAAAAAGAGCAAAATAAAAAAAAATTCTAAATTCTGTTTCTTTTATAAAATTTTGCAAACAGGTACTTTTTCTCCTTCACTGATGTGCATTGATGAGGCTGCACTGATAGGCAACACTGACGGGCACTGATAGGCGGCACTGATATGCAACAATGATGGGCACTGATTGGCGGCACTGCTGGGTGGCACTGACTGGCGGCACTACTGAGCACTGATGAGTGGCACTGCTGGGCGGCATTGATGGGTAGCACTGCTGGGCACTGATGGGTGGCACTGCTGGGCGGCATTGATGGGTAGCACTGCTGGGCACTGATGGGGGCACTGCTAGGCACAGATGGGCAGCACTGGTGGGTGACACTGCTGGGCACTGATCAAAAGGACACTGATGATCGGTGCCGATCCCTCCTCTGACAATTGCCGGTTATCGGCAGTACTTTCCTCACGCTGTGACAGTGTGAGGAAAGTGCATTTACCGGTGATCTGCTGTGTCATTGGACATGGCTGATCACGTGGTAAAAGGCCGCAGTGATTGGCCTTTTACCACATCACGTGATCAGCTGTGTCCATAGGACACAGCGATCACGGAGATCGCCAGGTGCGTGTCCCCGGGGTGCGCGGGAGGGCACGTTCTGGGAGGACGTCATATGCCGCTCTCCCAGAACTGGCTGGCCGCAGGGAAGCCGTCATTCGGCTATCTGCCATCGGCAAGTGGTTAAGGTGGCCCATTCACTTGGCAATGGTTGAACAAACACGCATGACACTTTCTTAACCGCACATCACAAGGCATAGTATATTTATTGTGTTGTGCTATGGTGAGTTGTGCGATGATCGACCCATCTACACACCGCACTGCACTGAGGAGGTATGCTGCTGAGCATTTTAGCACAACGCACATGTGTGTGGCAATCAAGCTGAACTCTAGGCAAAAAAAAAAAACCCACCAGATTTTACAGCTATTTTTTAGGGCCGGTTCACACTATAGAAACGCAGTCCAGATACATTCCGGATGCGTTTTTTGACGCTTTTTTGATACATTCCAGATCATTTTTTCCCCTCTCTTTTTATTCAATTTAAATAAGGGCATTACAGTGCGTTTCTGATGCGTTTTACCGCATTCCAGTACAGTTCTGTGCAGAAAAAATGCAGACTGTTCTACTTTTGTTTTCTGCATCCGGAACGCACTGGAACGGCAAGCACTGATGTGAACTATGACATTGACAACCATATAACCTACTTTATGTGCATTTTGGATGCAGAAAAAAAGCAACTGAAACACATGTCATGTGAACTGATCCTTAATGCACCTAGTGCAAGTTCCTGAATTGAAGCTTTTATCAGCTTCTTACCATCATCTGTACAGCAAGAGCTCAGGCTGGGAGGGGAAGAAGCAGCACAAGGGGCCAATCAAGCATGTTTCAGTGCTCAAGAGCTGGCATGAAGCATGCTGACAGGAGGAGAGAGCAGAGTGACAGAGATGAGCTCATCAGTCTGCAGTTTCTCCATTGTCCTACCACCTGATCTAGCTGTATTACCCTGACAGCAGTAGAGAAAAGTAAAATTTCAGCGCTAATTAAAAGTGAAAAACATGAGAATTTGTACTTTTTCCAAACATCTGCAAACTTTAGATAAAAAATCCTACTTAGATCGTTATTTATTTATTTCAGGTACTTATATAGCGCGTCAATTTACGCAGCGCTTTACATATATATTGTACATTCACATCAGTCCCTAACCCTCAAGGAGTGTACAATCTAAGGTCCCTAACTCACATTCATACATATACATACTAGGGCCAATTTAGACAGGAGCCAATCAACATGTCTTTGTAGTGTGGGAGGAAACCGGAGTACCCGGAGGATACCCACACAGGCACAGGGAGAACATGCAAACTCCAGGTAGGTGGTGCCATGGTTGGGATTCTAACCAACGACCCTAGTACTGCCAGGTGGAAGTGCTAACCATTCTACCACTGTGCTGACTGATATGAATATAAGTAATAAATGGTAATAAAACAAGATAAAAACTATAATATACAAATGTAAAATCCTCCTTCCCATGCTCTTCCTTTATCTTTACTTTAGATAAAAGCACTTCCACTCCTCCCTAGCGATGATTCAGTCCTCATGCACACGGGATGTTTTTACAGCGGCTGGTTTTGGCTTTTGGCATTTTTTTCTACAGCCGGTAAACTCCCCAGCATGTTCTCCTATGTGTCCATACACACGTTGGCTTTAATCAGCGTTTTTTAGCTGGAAAAACCCCAGAACTAGTGGCTTTCTAGAGGAGTATTTAGCTGTAAAAATGCTCTAACGCTGGTAAACGCAGCAAAACGCAGCAAATTGGCATATTTTTGAGCCAAAATGTAATTTTTTAATGTGTAAAAAAACACAAAAAAATTCAATTGCAGAAAAAACGCAACTAAACGCTACTGCAAAAATGCTAAAAAATGCGGAAAAACGTGCGTTTTTAACATTACTTCTACAGTAGCTAACACTGCTGGTGTTTTTAAAATGCCCAGTGTTCATGAAGACCTAGAATCAGTGGGGTTCTGGGATCTGATCCTTACAATGGTGGTCTCTTTTGTACCTGTAAAGTCTGACTATTGTTTTTGTTACTTTAGATTGTAAGCTCTTCAGACTCACTGAACCCTCTTGTATTGAACAGTATTGTTGCTGTATTGTCTCCCGTTATATTGTAAAGCGCTGAGCAAACTGTTGGCGCTATATAAATCCTGTATAATAATAATAATAATAATGAAATAACAATAATAAAACAATAATCGTCATCATGGTCTGATCACGCCATATGGCAGCTTCCTGCATAATGAACTGTCTGAGTCTCCCATCTAAGCACAGTGATTGGACAGGAATGTGTATGGGAATATCTGTATATCCCCGAATTTACAGGATCACGTTGCACACATGACAAAAACACACCGTACCGTCCTTTCTGCGGTCACGCTCTGTGTTTTTGGCTGCTGCTCACTTCCTGTCTCTCCAACGGATCTGAGAAGGGATGTCACTGGGTCATGTGAACAGAGCAGAGTCGGCCATCTTTAATACTGTCAATGTAAAACTGGTGCACCCTGGATCCTTCCTGCAAAGGGGAGCTCACTAGAGCCAAACATTATTATTTATTTCAGGTACTTATATAGCGCCATCCATTTACACAGTGCTTTACACATATATATTGTACATTCACATCAGTCCCTAACCCTCAAGGGGTGTACAATCTAAGGTCTCTAATTCACATTCATACATACACATACTAATGCCAGTTTAGACAGGATCCAATTAACCTACCAGCATGTCTTTGGAGTGTGGGAGGAAACTGGAGTACCTGGAGGAAATCCATGCAGGCACAGGGAGAACACACAAGCTCCAGGCAGGTGGTGCTGTGGCTGGGATTTGAACCAATAACACTAGTACTGCCAGGTGGAAGTGCTAACCATTTAGCCACTGTGCTGCCCACAACAAACATATTTTAGGGAAATTCATAAAGAGCATTGCAGATATTCTGTATACGTCTGTCTCTCAGTAATGCATAGGAACAATATCGCCAGACAATAAAACTGTCACTTGTACACTCACCGGCCACTTTATTAGGTACACCTGGTCAATAGGTTGGTAACACAAATTGCTAATCAGCCAATCACATGGCAGCAACTCAATACATTTAGGCATCTAGACATGATGATGACAACTTGCTGAAGTTCAAACCGAGCATCAGAATGGGAAAGAAAGGGGATTTAAGTGACTATGAACATGGCATGGTTGTTGTGCCAGACGGGCTGGTCTGAGTATTTCAAAAACTGCTGATCCACTGGGATTTTCACGCCCCGATGACATTGCTATCATTTTTTTTCCACACAAATAGAGATTTCTTTTGGTGGTATTTAATCACCAATGTGGGTTTTATTGTTTGATAAACAAATGAGAAAAGACTGAAATTTTGTTTTAAAAAAGTGTTTTTCTTCATTTCTATTATAACATTTTGCAAATAAATATTCTTTCTCCATTAATTGAGGCCACAATGTATTCTGCTACATTTCTTTGAAAATAACCCAGATCAGTGTATATTATTTAGTCTGTAGGAAAGCTACAAAGGTCACAAACTACGGGATATCTATCTGAAAGACGATCGATCCTGAAATACTGACAGCCAATCTCATTTCTTGAGGCCCAAAAACACCAGGACAGT